AGCAAAGTAATATTAGTAATATTACTTAGTATTAAAAATACGATAGCACAGCCTTGTGCATAGTCATCCCAGCCGAGCTGGGTTCGATTCCTCCGCCCCTCTCAGAGAGCCCAACAAGCTACCAAGAGTATCATGCCCACACGGCAAAGCCTGGCAAGGTACCCATGAGGTATTCAATATGCCAAACACAGTAACAAGAAGTCTCAAAATGGAGACGTTACTGGGCCCACTCAAGCAAATCGATGAACAATAGGACAGTGTTTATTTGTTTGTTTGTTTGTGATTATTACATTGAAGTCTAGGTAATTTGAATTGTATGTAATAATGTGCCGTATGTATTCTGTTTTGTAATCGCTATTGTTCTGCAGTTCTACACCTTATTTATTCACCATGTGAGCTACTATGCAGATTATTGTTCAAGAAAAAAACTTAACAAATTCCGTTTTACTTATATCTTTCCTAGATTTGGAACTTCAGAAAGGCCATTAGTAAAAATTAAAAATTGAGGGGTAAGGAAGGGAGGGACTCAAGGTAATGTCAAGGTGCTTCTCTAGAGGGTCTGGGACACTTTGATGGTGGTGATGCCCAGTAACTGGCTACATCAACACCATACACATTAATGATAGCCAGGTCACCTAAGCCCTAATAATAAATTAAAATCAGACATGGGGAGGAGGCATAGCAGTTAGGACACGTGCAGGGCACAGGTTTGATTCCAGCACCACGGGGTCTTCCCCACCCTTCAGATGCAGCCTGAAGTGTCCCGCACTGCCAGGTGGCACGGTGTCCCTGGCACTGCAGGGCCCAAGTATCACTGTATCTTTAGGCTCTTGCATTGTATTACTGGTCCAGTTGGCCTAGAATTACCAGTGGGGGGTCCTTGAACCTCCTCAGGACCGCTTGGGAGGCCCCTCCCCCCAAATTAAAATATTTGAATCATTTTCTGTCTAACTTTACAATGCATCTCAGCCTGTGGCATTACTCCCTAGTGTAGTTGGACTACTTCAAACATTAGCACAAGGGAAACATTGTTTCATCACGAGTTTTCCAATGCCACAAATTATGTTCACTGCAAGGATACTGAGAAAAGTGCTGTTTTTTACAGTTCAGTTTAAACGTTTTTAATCTGTGGGGATGCTCTTACGTTCATCATTCAGACATTTTCCATACTTAAACATTTCCAGACATTAAAGCTCCAGACATTTTCCATACTTAAACCTACAATTTTCATAATCACAATAAGTTTTTCTTGACATTACCATATATGTACAATTCCATATGATACTGCTTTATGGGCTGGAGCGATAGCACAGCGGTAGGGCGTTTGCCTTTCACGCAGCCAACATGGCCGACCCGAGTTCGATTCCTCCGCCCCTCTCGGAGAGCCCGGCAAGCTACCGAGAGTATCTCGCCCACACGGCAGAGCCTGGCAAGCTCCCCGTGACGTATTCGATATGCCAGACACAGTAACAACAAAGTCTCCAATGGAGACGTTACTGGGCCCGCTCGAGCAAATCGATGATCAACGGGAGGGCCTTTACCTTACTTTTACTTACTGCTTTATAATCCTTTATTAAAATACCTGGAACACGAAGTTTCTTTAAATACTAACCTTAAAGCAAATCATTGCAGATATTTAAATGTGAAAAAGAACAGTTTTAAAAATGTTTTTATGGTAACATTGCTTAATATTATGATAATATTCTGTGGTAACAATGTTTTTGTGGTAACATTTATACCATACAAGTTTCAAGTGTGTGTACACTGCAGCATGATCTCCACGAGAAGTCGAGTTTCCTTCCCTTGTCAGCCTATGCTTGACACCTGTACCCAGTTTTACTACCCCCAAACTCCTTCACCTGTTTCTCCCTCACCAATCAAGAACAGAATGTTGAATGTCGCTGGTAGTTTGGAAGGGAAATCAGGAGACATGAGTTCCAGCTTTGGTTTGGCAAAATCAGCAAGAGCTGTGACTTAAATACATACATTTACTTTTCATACATCATCAAAAGAGAAATGCATTTGGGTTTCGGTTAGAACTTCTACCTTTAATATTTTGTAATTTGTTTGTTTTGTTTCTTTTTTGGTTTGTTTCTGGAAACTGTGCTGAGGGCTTATTCCTGGCTCTGCGCTCCTGCCAGGTTGCTACTTTAAAACTTTGGAATATTGGGCTGGAGCAGAAGTACAATGGGTAGGGCACTTGCCTTACACCTGGCAACTTGGGTTCCATTCCTTCACCCCATGTGATCCCACAGTCTTCCAGAGGTGATCCCTGAGCTCAGAGCCAGGAGTAGGCCTTGAGCACCACTGAGTGTGGCCCAAAAACCAGTAAGATAAAATAAAAGAAAATAGCATCCCTAGCCATTTTAGAAGGATAAATATAAAAAAAATTCATAAAGTAAATTAAGTAGAATTCAAAGTGATAGCGCTATTTTCACAATTATTGAAAGAAAAATATTTTGCTTTCCACTTGATTTAGAATCTTAATTCAAACTATCTTAAAGGATAAAATTTAAGTGTATCTCTTCTTCTCTTAGTGGTCCTCATCCTCCAAGGTCATGTTGATTATGTAAAGGCCACTTGGCTTTAAGGCAATGTCAGCATCTGTTGCTAGCCTATGATCTATTCCCATTCAAGAGATTTACAAAGAGGCCAAATTAAATACTCTGTAAATACTCCTACATTAATAGATGAGCCTGAACTTTTGACTCAACCCCAAGTTTAAAATTTACTGTGTTAAACACAGCTGATATATCCATAAGCTCCTTATATAACCAAACTCATTTCAGCTCTGGGTCTCTGGGTGGCTCCATTTCTGTTTGGTAAAATGAACTAATTTACATCAACCACATTGTCTTATTTGAAATTTATATGATGACTTTATGTTTCCGCCATGGATGATATACTTACGAAGAAAAATTCTAATATTTAAGATCACATTTGTTTTTTTGGTTTTCTTTTGAGGTTTTTTGGACCATGCTGGCCATGCTCAGGGTTTACTCCTGGCTCTGTGCTCAGGAATCACCCTGTGGGGCTCAGGGGACTATCGATAGTGCCAGGAAGTAAACCTGGGTGGCTGTGTGCACGGCAAGCACCCTACTATACAATCACTCTGGCCTTTTGTAAGATCGCATTTAATTTTTCCATGAAAAATTAAATTAGGTTTTGTTTTTCTGGAGTTTTTGGCAGTACTTGGGGCTATACCTGGCTTGGTGCTCAGAATCATTTCTGGCAGTGCTCTGGGACTGGTCAGTCCTGGGGACCAAAGTGGGCCTTTCAGTATGCAGACAATGTCCTCTAGCCCTGTGGCTCATCTTCCTGGCCCCTCAAGCACATACCTTTTATTTATTTATTTATTTATTTATTTCTGGTTAAAGCAGTTTATTAAATGATAATTCTTTTGGGTAAGAGTTGGAATGTTTATTTCCAAAAAAAATTTTTTTTTCATTAGTGAGACATATAAGGTACAGTTGTAGACTTACAAATTTTTGTGCTTGGGTTTCAATTACACAATGATCAAACGCCCATCCCTCCACCAGTGCCCACTTCCCACCACCACGGATCCCAGCATCCCCTCCCACCCCCTATCCCCCTCATGCCACCCTGCCTCTGTGGCAGGGCATTCCCTTTTGTTCTCTCTTATTGGGTGTTGTGGTTTGCAAAAGAGGCAATGGGTGACAATAATGTTTGGTCTATAGTCTACTTTCAGTATGCTTCTCCTGTCCTGGGAGGATCCTCCCAACACCTTTATTTGGTGTTCCCTTCTCTATCGGAGCTCCCTTTTCCCCTAGCATGTGTGGCTGGCCTCCAAGTTGTGGAGTAAAATTCCTGGTACTAATCTTGGCCATTCTTGAGTGTTAGTCTCCTATTTTGTTACTTTATGTTCCCCAGATGAATGCAATCTTTCTATGTGTATCCCTTTCTTTAAGTCATTTAGCTTAACATGATACTTTCCATGTAGTACCACTTGTATGTAAATTTCATGGTTTCATCTTTTCTAACAGCTACATAGTACTCCATTGAAACACATACCTTTTATACCCCAAAGGATTTGACTGTACCTGATCAAGGACTGACTAGAAGCTTGGGTAATAGTTCAGCAATAATGATAGTTTTTTAAAAATCAGTTTAATGCATTTATAAATACAATTTATATGCAGTAATGTTGTGATCAACAAGTGCCCCTGAATACATCCTCAAATTAATTATGCTTATTAATGTGATTGACGTGAATATCCACTTAAGGTTGCAGTGCCAGTGATTTGATAGGTATATGTTTTAAATGATAATTATAATAATGTTATTATAATGATAAAAAACTTCTTGAACATAGAAATGCCAAATATGGCATGACTTATAATGCAAAATACTTATATTTTTGAGGGAGGGGGCATTTTTTGTTTCTTTTTGGGTCACGACGATGTGCAGGGGTTACTCATGCACTCAGGAATTAGTCCTGGCGGTGCTCAGGGGACCATATGGGATGCTGGAAATCGAACCCAGGTCGGCCGCATGCAAGGCAAATGATCTATCCGCTGTGCTATCACTCCAGCCGCAAGAAAACTGTTTCTTGTGGGCATCTTCATCTTTGTCCATTAGGTAATGCATATATTCTGCAATGTTCTGTCCCATAATGAGTTTCCAATGTCCTTTGGTGTTAAATTCCTTACTTTCCTCTTAAGATACATTTTAAGGGTTGCTCTCTCTGCTTATATTGATTCTGTCAATCATAATATTTATTGAACACCTATAGTAAGCCAGGCACAATTTAGGTAGCTGGAATTTTAAGTTAATTTTGCATTTATAATTTGTCTTTGTCCTAATCAAGTGTCATGGCCTATTTTTCACCCCCACTCCTAATAACATTGCAAATTCCAAAAGGACAGGGGCTCTGTTTGACATTTTCTTCTTATCTCCCTTGATTTTCTTCTTATCACTCTCTGTTCATACTGAAAGCTTTAAATAAATAGTGTTTGAATAACATGTTTTCTACATTTCAGGAGTGGCAACGTGTACAATCCAAAGGTTGCTTTTTTGTGGAAGAAGATGGTGAAATTGTGAATCATCAATACAAGATGCATATAGCTCAGAGATCCATGGTTTATCTAACTATTAAGCCATTAAACATGAGTCAAGTCGAAGGCAAGTTTCAAAATTTTTAATCTCTATTTTTAAGACAGCAATTTAGTATTCTTTAAGAGTATTCCTTTAGTAGTACTATTTAATGAAAAACATAGTCTGCCTAAGAATACTACAACTACCTTTAAAGAAAAGCATATTTTGACTGTATTATATTATGCAAAGGAAGTAAGTTGCTTTCTTTCTGGATTTTGGGGCACACTCACAAGTGCTTGAGGGCTTCACTGGTGGTGCTTGAAGAACCAGGCTGTGCTGGGGGTTGAACTCGGCCTGCCTGAACTACTATTGAGTATGGTTGAATCATACTTTATTTTATTTCATTTAGAAACAACAGTTCCTGGTTTCCTCACAATATAAAATTAACTTTTAAATTTACTTATTAGCTTAGTTCTTCCCATTGATTTTGAAAAGCAGTGTGTTTAAAAGAGAAATTCTATAAGAATATAATTTGGGTCAATAAGAACTGAGTAGTTTTGGGTCTGAGACATAGCATAGCAGGAGTAAACTCTGAGTAACACTGGGTGTGGGCTCCCCCAACCTCAAGCAAAAAAGAATCTGCGTATTTTTAAAGTCCTATGTCATGTAACTTAGACAACCCTTATTAATAATCTTTGTAAAGTAATTTTATAGTGTCTAAGCCAGAGAGATAGTACAAAGATTAAGTTGCTTGCCTAACCTTAACAATGGTTAAGGTGCGACCATGGTCTTGGTCCAAATTTCAGCACCACGTATGGTTCTACTCTTGGCCAGCACTGCCCAAAATACTTACAAAAATAATTCCTACTGTCTAAATTTAATATGTTTTAATTTTGGTTTTTTTTGTTTGTTAGTTTTTTGCTTTTTGGATCACACTCAGTGATGCTCAGGGGTTACTTCTGGCTCTGCACTCAGGAATTACTCCTGGCAGTGCTTGGGGGACCATATGGGATGCCGGGGATTGAACCCTGGTCGACTGCATACAAGGCAAATGCCCTACCCCCTGTACTATCACTCTGGCCCATGTTTTAATTTCATATATATTTTGGCTTGGGAACCACATCTGACAGTGCTAAGAGACTACTACTTCTGGATCTGTGCTCAGGAATCAAGCTGGTCGTCACTGGGGGGACCATGAAGTACCAGGGATGGAACAGAGCCCTCCTCTATGCAAAACATGTGCTCAGCCAGCTGGTCTCCTTTCCCCCATCAAAAAATCTTTAGTAAAAATGTCTACAGTGTATTTAGCGTTTTTAATGTCTGTTGTTCTACTTATCAATATTTATTTTAATTTTACTATTTTTACTGTCACTGTCTTCCCGTTGTTCATCGATTTGCTTGAGCGGGCCCAGTAATGTCTCCATTGTGAGATTTTTACATATCAATATTTTATAGAGATTCTTTTCTTCCTCATTTTTTAAAATATCTCTCAAATTAGAGTCTGAAGATTTCATTGTCTTTTTTTTAAATGTAGGAGTACTGCTGTTTATTCAGCCACTGATTAGTTGATTGAGTTGGGCATGAACTTCACCTTACTTTTTTTTCATAATTTTATTTATTTATTTATTTATTTATTTTTCTTCTTATATTTATTATTGAATCAGTGGGAAAGGTTACTAAGCTTTCAGGTTTGTCTCATTCATACAATGATCAAACACCTTTCCCTTTACCAGTACTCATTTTTCACCACCAAAAACCCCAATATACCCCCCTCCCGCCCCTCCCAATGCCTGTGAGGCAGATGATTACTACTTAACTCTTCTCTACATTAATTGCATTCATTATTTCGACAAAAGATGCACCAATATTGTTTAGAATTTCCTCCCCAACAATCAGAATTGCTGAAAAGGCATTGTGAAATACTTTGTTTTCTATAGCTGGTTATGAGAATCATATAATGTCACAAGGCTGCGATTTTGGATTTCTGCAGAGTCAGATAATTATAAGATTGGTTTCTGTGTGTCTGGTGTTATGGCTGTGCCGGAGAGCTGCTCATGGGGGGCAACTCGTGACCTCTGTAGGGCGTGAAGAACGAGCTGTTACCGCCCCCCTTCCCATGAGACTGCAGTTGCCCCGTCACCACCAGCTCATACCTGGCTTTCCTATAAGCTCTGAGGCAGTGGCCACCTTGCTGCCGAGGGGGAAAAAGGTGGAAGGGAGCAACACCCTTTCCCTCCCGGGGAGGCAAGGTGCAGTAGTTTAACGCATGGTACATTCACTTTTCTGCCGCATGCTGCTGGGTTCTGGATTAAGTCCTTTTGCCTCTGGAGCCATGGCCATGCCAGAGAGCCACTTGTGGGGGACAACTTGTGACCTCGGTACGGCGTGAAGGGTGAGCCGGTACAGCCCCCTTCCCATGAGACTGCAGTTGCCCCATCAGTGCCAGCTCATACCTGGCTTTCCAATAAGCTCTGAGGTGGCAGCCACCTTGTGTGCGGTCCAGATACATTTCTGCCAAAAGTTGCTGGGTTTCAAGATTTGTTTCTGAGTCTCTGGGATCATGGCCGTTAATCAGCTTGATTAGGAGCCAGAGAAACTGTTTGTAGGTGGCGACTTGGGGTTTCGTTGGGATGGGGAGGAATGGGCTGGTTCTACCCCCATCTGGTGAGGCCCCACGTGTCTCGTCACTGCAGGCCCAAACCTGACTGTCCAGTGGCCTCTGGAGGATGGCGGTCACTGGGCCGCCAGGGGGAGCAGGCCAAGGCACGAAACCTATTCCCACCTGGAATGGCCCGGTACGAGTAACCTACTGCAGGAACGGGACGCATTTCTGCCAAAAGCCTTTGGGTTCTGAGATTCGTTTCTGAATCTCTGGGATCATGGCTGTTAAGCAGTTCGATCAGGAACCAGAGAGACCATGCCTCCAAGCTGAGCCCAAGGTGGTTTGTGGGTATGTCTCCCACATACCTAACTTTTGGCCGTTTACTTTCTTGGTAAACTTTGCCCAAAGTTTTTGGGGTCTGGCCAAAGGCACAGCAGCAATTTTGGGGTATCTGAAAGTCTGACAGTGCCATCAGGCTGCTGATGCACTCGCCTCACAGGCATTGTCTACCTTGCTGGATATGTACACATTTGGCAGATGGTACTTTGAGTGACCGTTACAGTGTCATCCCCCACACATTTGTGGCTACCTCGCATTTGTGGACCAGTTCTCCTGGCTGCTGTACATTCTGGTCTTGGATATTAGTCTCATACTATTTTTTTTTAATATCCCCCTAATGAGTGCAGTCTTGCTGTATCTCTCCTTCTCCTTCTGAATCATTTCATTCAGCATGATACTCTCCATGTCAATCCAGTTATAAGCAAATTTCATAACTTTATTTTCAATTCCTCTGCCCTTCCCGGGGAGCCTGGCAAGCTACTGAGAGTATCTCTCCTGCATGGCAAAGCCTGGCAAGCTACCCGTGACGTATTCGATATGCCAAACATAGTAACAACAAGTCTCACAATGCAGACGTTACTGGGCCCGCTCAAGCAAATCGATGAACAATGGGAGGACAGTGACAGTGACAGTGATTTTCTACAGCTGTGTAGTATTCCATTGTATAGAAGTACCATAATTTCTTTATCCAGTCTTCTTTTCTCAGGCACGTGGGTTGTTTCCAGATCCTGGCTATGTGAATAGAGCTGCAGTGAACATCAGAGTGTGGATGGCTTTTCTGCTATGTGTATTTGGGCCCCCAAGGCATATTCCTAGTAGTGGTATTGCTGGGTCAAATAGGAGCTCAATTTCTAATTTTTTGAGGGATGTCTACATTGTTCATTTCTCTGCCGTATCAAATTTCTGAGGCGTTCAAGAAAAGTCACAATTATTAGAAAGTATATGTGAAGAATACTTCTCTCTTTGGTTGTTCATCATAGTCTTCTGCCAAACAAACAAATGATATGATGTTTACATAGAAAAATGGAATGCGTGTTCTTTTAAAAGAATACAAAGACAAGAAATCACTAACATTTTTTGTTTGTTTGTTTGTTTTTGGGTTTTTTTTTAGCTTGAAAAGAGCAAGCAGTGATTGCTTATTTAAGATGTTTGGTCTTTGTTGTTGTTTGTAGGAAAACCATCTCCTTGGTTATCAGTCGACACAGCTATGTATATTCTTAAGGAAAATGAAAATCAAGCAAATCTGCAGCTCATGGGTTTTACTGAACTACGAAATAGAGAAGTATACATATTTTTTCCTAATGTTTAATTTTAGAGTGTGAACTCAAATATGGGGAAAAACAATTAAAGTCTTTTTAAACTTTTCTATCCTTTCTCATAACTAAGTAATTACCCAGGAGCTGGAGTAGTAGTACAGCTGGTAGGTCACTTTCCTTGCATACTGCCTACTCGGGTTCGATCCCTGTCACCCCAGATGGTCTCCCAAGTCTCTCCAGGAATGACCCCTGAGTACAGAGCCAGGAGTGAGTCCTGAGCACCACTGGATGCAACTCAACTCTCCCACCACCATCCAGAAGATATCATTATGAATAATATATATGCTTTCTTAATTGTAAAAGACTTTTCTTGTTAGCTGAGATCTAAGAACTGAGGATTGATCAGTCATTTTGGCTTCGTGGCTTGAGTTTGTGACATTCTACTTCTTCTATAAATGTTCTTTACTTCACATAGGAACAGTTTTTTTTTTTTTGCTATACTCAGTAAAAATGGTTGATGCTAGTGGATTTTCCCCCCTAAATATGAGCAATTCAAGCCTGGAAAAAGTTGCTCTGGATGTTTATCTTACTTATACTACTACAGCAAAAAAAGAAAAACTTCAAGATTACTATCCTCAGGCTTCACTCCTATTATAGAGCCCACAAATAGATTGATACAACGAAATGCTTTTAAATGATTTTATATGTTGCCTGTGGGTTGTTTCTGATCTTTTTTAATTATATATTTACTCAGAGGCCAAATATGTGAGGCAGATACATAAATGTGGCTATTTATTTTATGAGGACTACAAAATACATCTGCTGCACAACAACAAAATAATACTATTCAAGGGCTTACTGCAATATCATATTTAATCTTTATATAGGTCCAACGACAGACAAACATTTCCCTGATGGAATGTTACATAAAAGTCTTTATTGTAGACTCCCTAACAGACAAGTATAGTTATAGTCAAGAAACAAATAAAACGACAGAAGTTATTAACGTTTTGACTAAACTCTTCTTCAGAACTGATTGAAGTTAAGTTCAAGATAAAGCATCATCTAAAAGTATAGCTTTTCCCATTTTGTTTTGGATAAAATTGCTTTCTTATGAGAGTATATGTGTAAAAATATTAGTGCGTAGCAAGCCTGTAATAAAGTGTGAATGAGTTTCTATTTACTTCTTTTCTATAGAGGTTTCTGTTTCTCTGTAATATGTCATATTTACAAAGGATTTTTAAATTTTTAGTTTCACAATTATTTTCTTTAAAAAGAGTTTTGTGCCCCTGAAAGGCTTTCCATTCACCATCCACTGTGGCATTTCAAGGTTATATGTGGAGATACAGAAGGGTCATGGAAAAGTATAGGTCAGGACACTGCAAGAACTTTGTTACTCATAGGTATATCAGTTTATACCTAGACAGTGTAAAAGGTGATGGTTTTCAAAGGACGGATCTGAAAGCTTAAGTTTTCAGAACAGCCCTCAATTTATTACAGCGCTTCTTTGTATCTTCTGACTTGGGAGTAGAAATCAGGTTGAATCCAGAAATTCAGGTAAACAAAAGTCTGTTTTGTCTATAAGTCTCCAGAATGACTTAAGCTATATCGAGGTTTTGAAAGGACTTTTGGACACAATAACAGATAGAATTGCCTTGATCTGTTCTGAAGAATCAGTAGCTGTTTACTGATCTACTAAGTATTGGACAGAGACTACCCATAAGTTTTTAGGAAGCTATTAGATTCCAAAAATACCTATACTTAGTTATTCTGTAGCACTGTCTTCCCGTTGTTCATAGATTTGCTTGAGCGGGCCCAGTAACATCTCCATTGTGAGATTTTGTTGTTACTGTGTTAGGAATATCAAACACATCATGGGTAGCTTGCCAGGCTTTGCTGTGTGGGTGAGATACTCTTGGTAGCTTGCTGGGTTCTCCAAGAGGGGTGGAGGAATCGAACTCGGGTCAGTCAGGTCAACTGCATACAAGGCAAACACCCTACCCACTGTGCTATCGCTCCAGACCAATAGGCAATATGAAATAAATTACTGTTACCTGCTAAGGGGGTAGGCTTGGTTATTCATTTTTCTTTATTTCATAGAAGAGTTTGGAAAAATAAAATGTTTTTCTCCACAATACTGTGACACTTGTTATAAATATCTCGTGACAGCAAATAATTTCATATCAGAGATTTATCTGGGATTTTGGCATCTTATTTATTATAAGCCAATATTAAATAATAATACCAGTACAGTGTTTCCCCCCAATAATTGGGTATTTAAAATAAGATTAATTTATATCAGTAGTAAATTTTTAAAAATATGATATATTTAATTTTTATTTTATTCATTAAAATTTGATCTACAAATTATGTATTTATATATAAAATCAAATTATATATAAATCAAATTTATATATCAAATCAAATCAAATTTAAAAATCAAACTGTTACCAGAAAATTATAATTATAATTACAAAAATTTTTTAAGATTATTGGGGGAAGATTCTAAAGTCCTGTCATCTCTTTCTTGTATTGTTCAGGCGGTTGTTTTAAATAGATATATCATATAAATTTATATATGATATTTATATTAAAATCTAATGGTTTTACGCTAAGGCTTTACTTTAAAAAAAGATTGTGAAGCCTATAAAGAATGATAGAACCGTAGTGGAGGGTATTGATTAAGAATATCTTTACTGTTTTAGAAAAATATCAAAGACATAAAATCTCATTTTGTTTAATTTTCTTTCTTTCTTCCTTTTTTGAGAAAAGGTGTTTGGGTGGACTGGTGAACTAGGGCCTGGAATTTACTGGTTAATTCCTTCCACAACTGGCTGTAGGCTGAGGAGAGACGTCAAGCCCATAGCAGAAGAAGCCCAGCTCGTAGGTAGAGATGACACTGGGGAATTATTTCTCACAAAGGAGTTTAGGTAAGTTTCATTTCTTTGTTTGTTTGTTTGTTTTTTGTTTTTTGTTTCTTCTGGGTCATACCTGGTGATGCACAGGGATTACTCCTGGCTCTGTACTCAGGAATTACTCCTAGCGGTGCTTGGAGGACCATATGGGATGCTGGGAATCGAACCCGGGTTGGTCGCATGCAAGGCAAATGCCCTACCCACTGTGGTATCAGCCCCAGTTTCATTTATTTAGCCATAGGTTGGAACTCTGATATCTAAACTGAGCATGTGTGAGTTGAAAGCCTGACTCTGTTGTTCTCGGGCCAGTCTGCCCCCATCTCCAGACCCTCGGCCCTAAACTCAGCCGATTTCCTAGGCCCTGTCCTCTCATGGCTCTGCAGCCTCTCTTGGATTCTGGGGTCCACATATTTGGCGAGTCATTGTTAGTCACACAACCAGTTCCTTCCCCCAGAGACTTTGTCCTTGCGATAGATCCTGCTCCTTGTGCTGTTAGCTGAGGCAGTTGGCAGGTCTGAAATTCAAGCCCTCATAGTTCTGCCATGCCCGTGGTGGCAGAGTCTGGCGGCAGGGCAGTTGAGGGAGGCTGTTTTTCCTGAGCTTCCGTCACGTGCTGAGCTGCTGGGCTTGGTTTAGAGGCTTGTTTTATCTTACATATGACTTTAAAAAAATATGTCTGGATCCATGACCTCTGTAGTGCACAGAAATCATTTACTACCTTTATTTTCTTTTGAAAAGTTTTCTTGTAGAAACGTTCTTCTTCCATCTAGTTCCTTAGAGACAAACAATAATTTGCTAATTTTTTTTTATCGCTCTAGGTCAGCTTTATCAGATATATTTGATATTATGGATTTAGATGGGAATGGTCTTCTCAGCCTTGAAGAATACAATTTTTTCGAACTGAGAACAAGCGGTGAGAAGTGTGATGAGGACGCCTGGGCCGTGTGCAGAGGTAGATGCTGCTTTCTCGGCCTTCCATCCGTTTCCTCCCTTCCCTCTTGCTGCACTTGCTCTGATGAACCGGGCTCACATGTGCCTGCACGGTCACACACGTGCTCTCTGCGTGTCACCCATGTTGGTGGAGAAGCTCTGATGTGATGGGTGGCAGTGCTTGCCGAGGCCCCCCCCCTTCGCTGCTGTGCACACCGGGATCCCACCGAGATTATTCCTGGCACCTGTGGACTCATCGGCTCGCAGGTGCAGGGCAGGTGCTTGGCCACGGAGCTGTCCCTGGGCCCAGGCCCACTTCCATCTTTAAGAAGGAAAATGTGGCATGGGGAGGGCAGCACTTAGGGCAGCAGAGGGAAGAGAGGCCTGCCCACGTCTCTGCATGGCAGCACAGCAGCTGCCAGGAAAGCTCTGGCCGGCTGCAGCCCTGCCTGACACCCTGTCACTCTGCCGGTGTACGCAGGCAGAGGCCATGGCCTGACCACCAAGCCATCAGCACGGCAGCTTTGTCCCAGCGAGGAGGACCTTGCTCACTCGCAGGCACCCTGCTTACCCTGCTCACCCGAGTGGCCTGGCCCCCACCTGACTCCCATGGGCCCAGCCCTTGCCTGCCTCCCTATTCCAGAGCCCCGTCCACGCTCTTCCACCCATGCGTGGGCACCCAAGCTCCAGACAGCAAGCCCCAGACATCCCGGCCACAGCCCCCGGGCATTCGCACAGCTGCTGCCCAGCCAGTACCCACTGAGCCACACAACCTCGAATCAACCCCGAGAGGAATTTGCCACTGAATCCAGACCCCCCGAGGAGTAGTGCGTGGCCCCAGCCTGCAGCTCCCTGGGGCCGGTGGGACACCCGCTCAGTGCAACTGCGGCCTAGTCCACCTGATCCCCGGCGCCAAGGCTCCTGGAGCCGAGGAGGGTTGCGTGGCTGTGAGCATGATAAGATGGTGGCCAAAGACAGGATGAGGAAAGAAGCAGAGGCCACTGCAGCAGAGTCTTCCCCTCTCATGCGCCTGACCTGTCTCTCTGGGGACGGTGTTTAAGTTATTTTTGGGCGAGGTCAATACTGGGGACCCTGGGGCTGGAGTTATAGCACAGCGGGGAGGGCATTTGCCTTACATGCAGCTAACCCAGGTTTGATTCCCAGCATCCCATATGGTCCCCTGAACACTGCCAGGAGTAATTCCTGAGTGCACGAGCCAGGAGTAACCCCTGTGCATCTCTGGGTGTGACCCCAAAAAGAAAAAAAATACTGGAGGCCCTGAGGCCTGCATGAATTTATTTAAACCAAGTTGGCAGGCATGGGAGGGAGCTCAGAGGCTGGAACGCTTCCTTTGCATGCACTCTGCCCTGACTTTCATCCTCGGCACCATGTGGTCCCCCGAGCATCCCTGGGTATAGCTCTGCAGACCCACAGAGCCTCTCACTGTGAGCCTGGTGGGCCACGAGCCCAGTCAGGGTGGGCCTCATGGGCCCCAGCATGACCATCAGCCTGACAGCGAGCCAGGGAATGCCAGGCATGGCCCTCAGGCTCCCTGAGCATTGCAGGGGAGGTCCCCCACAGAAACGAAATTTAAAAAAAAGAATAAAGCTGAAAAGGAAAATCACCTAAATGCCATATTTCTCCAGGGGGTATTATTATATCAATCATGGTAGTTTAAACACCACAGCATTGTTTCCAGAACATAAAACTGAACAATTGGCAGCCCAGGGCTGCCCCAGGGCCAGGAAGGCCTTCCCGGGAAAGGGTGAGGTTGCAAGTTCGATGCCTGGCCCCATCCACACTTGCCAAGTGCAATCCCAGCAGCTCTCCTATTGGGAGCTCATCTCTGCTGTCATGCACTCCCTCGGGGGCTCCTCAGCTGGGGGACCGCAGCTGGGTCACGACAAAAGTAACCAGCTCAGCTCCCAGCCAGCACTATCTGAACCAGGTAGCAGCCACGGAGAGCACAGCACCCAAGTATGTGAGCCACCTCTGGTCATCACAGCAGCCAGGGGAGGGCCAGGAAAAGCGACTAATCGCAAGCATTTTTTTGGGGGGGGGGGAGGTGGTTAATTGCACGCCAGAGAGACCATACAGGGGTTAAGGTACTTACCTTGCAGGCTGCCAACCTGTTTGATCTCAGCACCACCTGGTTTCTTGAGCACTGCAGAGAACAAGCTCTGAACACAGAGCCAGGAGTAGCCTCTGAGCATCACCAGAGTTGCCCTTCCCTTAAATAACAGGTGGAATAAAATGACAGTTGACGGGTCTGGGACCAGCTCAGTATTCAGCAGTGTTGCCTGCCCTATAGACCCATGGCTTGTAGACCTGGCACTGCCCTCCATACCCAGCCTGTCCACTGTGTAGGATCCCCGACACCACAATCAAGTGTGTGGAGAACCTCTGCAGCCCTACTGTGTGAGCATCACAGCCGAGGGGCTATCCACTGGCCAGCAGCACAGCCCTCTTGTGCTCGAGCCTCCCACGAATGAGCGTGGCTCAGTGAGCGTCCTCAAGCCCTGTCACCATCCAGCATCAGAAACACCACAGAAGGGAAGGTTTTACATCAGTAAAACCCACTGTGATTATCGAAGGAGAGCTCACATTGAAAGAAAAGACGGGGTACTCATGTTTGATTCGCAGCTTCCCCCCGCACCCCCCCCACACATGGAACTCCCAAGCCATGGCGGGTCAGAGTCCCTCCAGGATGCTCAACATCTCCTCTGCTTAGGTGCGGCTCTGGGAATTATGCTCAAGACCACACTTGCCTTGCGTGCTTTCCGGGGCTCTGAACCATCCTTTGGATTTTTCTTACTGGGCATCTCCAACAGCTGGCAAGATTGCCTCAAAGCGTGTAGGGTCACTGAGGTTTGAACGCTCTAAGCCATCAAGTCATCTTCTGGGCCCCTCCAGCGATGTTCTTGGTAGTTTAGGATAGAAACTCCCTCATTGTCCTGGCTCTTGATCCCAGTGGGCCAAAAGTCCCAAACTGTGGCCAGGTGATGGCAGCAAAGAGCTGAGGTTTTACTAAAAGTGGTTTCCAGGAAGTTGCTTATACATAAGAATTGTTTAGAGTTGTTTTTTTTTCTTTTGGTTTGTTTTTACTTTTTTGCTTTCTTTTGTTCTTTGCATTGGAGTAGAATTTTAAAAGTTTATCCATGGAGGTTAAACCATATCCACACGGTAACCAAGCTCATTGAGGTTTCTCGGGAGTTCAAGATGCCGCTCTGCTTAACGTTCATTGATTTAAAGAAGGCCTTTGATTCTGTTGAGACGGAAGCGGTCATTGAAGCCCTAGCCAATCAGGGCATTCAAGCCCAATACATCAGGATCCTCCGTGAGCTGTATTGCGGATTCACTACCAGGATCTCACCATTCTACAAAGAAGTGATCATCCATGTCAAGAGAGGGGTTCGGCAGGGCGATGCCATTTCACCGAAACTCTTCAGTGCCACCCTCGAGAACGTCATGCGACGACTGGAATGGGAAGGAATGGGAGTGAAGAAAGATGGTTGGCAACTACACCACCTCCGCTTCGCTGATGACATCGTTCTAATAACATCAAACATTAGCCAAGCAGCACAAATGCTGGCCGACTTTGACCGTGAGTGTGGAAAGGTAGGACTACAGCTGAATCTTACGAAGACAATGTTTATGAGAAACAGCCTTGTTCCTGACGCCCCATTCGCTCTCAATGGAACGACCATCTCCGAATGCAACAGCTATGTGTACCTAGGTCGAGAGGTCAACATGACAAATGACCTGGCACCCGAGCTGCGCAGGAGGAAGAGAGCGGCTTGGAACGCCTTCAAGAACGTCGAAGAAATAGCTAAGAGGACGAAGAACCTCCGGCTCCGGGCACATCTCTTTGATTCCACTGTTCTTCCTGCATTAACATATGCCTCAGAGACCTGGGCCCTACGCAATCAAGATGAGAACGCCATTCAGGTCTCCCAAAGAAGAATAGAAAGAGCTATGCTTGGAATAACACGTTTCACTCAAATGAGAGAACGAATCCGGAGTTCTGACATCCGTCGACGATCAAGGATCAGGGACGCTGTCTCATATGCCAAGGTGTCGAAAATCAGATGGGCTGGTCACGTAATGAGATTTAAAGACGACCGTTGGACTAGAGCTGTTACTGATTGGATTCCACGGGATGTCAAGAGACCGCGTGGCCGCCCACCTACCAGATGGTCAGACTTCTTTGTCAAGATCATGAACGATCGGTTTGAGGCCCTCCATGTTCCTGGAGCGAAGAGATGCCATTGGGCTACACTAGCACGCGACAGGACAAATGGAGACGTTACTGGCGCCCGCTCGAGCAAATCGACGACTAACGGGAAGTTAAGTGATTAAGTGATCCATGGAGGTATGGAAGCCAGGAAATACCAAGAAGGGGAATGGAAATTCCTGAGAATGAAGCAAAGCTGGTAAAGTCAGGGAGATGGTGGGATGTGTGTGCTGGAACCACAGGCTGGAAGAGCAAAGGGTGAATCAAGAATCAGGGCTAACCATGACTATGAACAAGAGATATTTGAAGAGGCCAGAGTGTGCTCAGGAGTGAGACTGAGTCCTAGGCTTGTGCTAGGATCATGCTAATCTGCTTTTTAACACGCCCTGAGCATGACCCATCAGAACAGCATGTCTGTTCATCCAAAGATGGGAAAAGATATATATATATATTCTTTTTTGGGGTCACACCCAGCGATGCTCAAGGGTTATTCCTGGCTCTGCACTCAGGAATTACTCCTGGTAGTGCTTGGGGGACCATATGGGATGCTGGGGATTGAATCCAGGTTGGCTGCATGCAAGGCAAATGCCCTAACTGCTGTACTATCACTTCATCCCTAGAGAATATATTTAAAATATATATCTAAATCTCTTCTTTTGAAGAAAAATTGGGGGGTAATGGTTTGTGCCACACCTGGCAGTACTCAGGTCTTAATCCTGGCTCTGTGCTCAAGGATCATGCCTAGCAGTGTTTAAGGGAACCAAAGGTGCCAGGGATTGAACAAAGGTCAGACGTATGTACAGCAAGCACCTTACCTCTGTACTCTCTCTCCTATCTCTATTGTATATTGATTTCTAATAAACTGATAATATAATTTTAGGAAGATGTCATGTATTGATATAATTTTAATTATATGAATCATTTTATCACCAAGAGTATTCGATATGCCAGACACAGTAACAACAAAGTCTCCAATGGAGACGTTACTGGGCCCGCTCGAGCAAATCGACGATCAACGGGAGGGCCTTTACCTTTATCAAAGAATCATATTTGAGTATTTGTTGGCACTAGATTATATTCCATAAGAGTAAATCATAATTAGAATTTTTCTTTTCTTTTTTCTTTTTTTGGGCCACACCCGGCAGTGCTCAGGTTTACTCCTGGTTCTATGCACAGGAATCTCTCCTGGTGGGGCTAGGGATTGAATCTGGGTCCTGTAGCGCTGTAGCACTGTCCCACCATCACTGTCTGTCACTGTCCTCCCGTTGTTCATCGATTTGCTCGAGCGGGCCCAGTAACATCTCCAATGGACATTGTTCATCAATTTGCTCGAGTGGGTACCATGACGTCTTCATTGTGAGACTTGTTGTTACTGTTTTTAGCATATCGAATATGCCATGGGGAGCTTGTCAGAGCCTGGCTGTGTGGGCGGGATACTCTCAGTATCTTGCTGGGCTTTCTGAGAGGGGCGGAGGAATCGAACCCCTCTGAGAGGGTCAGCCGCATGCAAGGCAAACGCTCTACCTGCTGTGCTATCACTGTGTCGGCCGTGTGCAAAGCGTGTGTCTGACCTGCTGTAATATCACTCTGACCCATATAATTTTCTTAAGAGAATGTTATATTAAATAAAATTCCAGTTTAATAATTTAATTAAATGCTAGAGTTGATAGTATTTTTGGGGGGAATTTCCATATGCTGAGTAGAAGCACGTTTGCACGGCTCTCTGAGGTCCATATGATTATTGTTCTCCAGAGAAGAGCAGTGAATCTAAGAAATTGTCACTTGACCAAGATTTCCCAGCATGAACATTTTACAGCTGGTCTCAAACTCAGGAAGTAAATTTCAGGCCCTTAACCACCATGCTACAAAGAATCCCAATAATACTAGGTTTAAGGAATTATTTGGAGGGAAATCCTTCTCTGCCAACATTAATAATATTACTAAAGGGGATGTTTGTTTGTAGTGTATTATTACCTAGTGGTGCCTGGGTTCAATCCTGGCACCACGCATATGCACACATACACATACACAAAGTTAAAAAGATTGAAGGGTTGAGGATCTTGTTTGGTTTGGGCCACACCAGGTGGTGTTCAGGGCTTACTTCTGGCTGTGCACTCAGGGATCCCTCCTGGAAGGCCTCAGGGGAATCGCATGGGGTGCTGGGGATTGAACCCAGGCTGGCTGCATGCAAGGCATGTGCGCTGCCCATTGTATTGTCTCTCTGGCCCCTGGAGGGTTGAGACCCTTAAGCTTTAAAAGTAGGCTCATTACTGGGGCTGGAGAGATAGCACAACAGGTAGCGTGTTTGCCTTGCTTGTGGCCGACCCAGGTTCAATTCCCAGCATCCCATATGGTCCCCTGAGCACCGCCAGGAGTAACTCCTGAGTGTAGAGCCAGGAGTAACCCCTGTGCATCGCCAGGTGTGACCCAAAAAGCAAAAAAAAAAAAAAAGTAGGCTCATTACTGATAGTCTAGACTGTATCTAGATAGAACTTTCTGATAGTCTCTATATTTATAATATAGTATCCTTTTAGCCTATTTTACTGCATAGTGGCTTTAGCCCCATTTTTTGGTAACTACTTTACTCTATGCTCTAAATTTAATCTACATTTACTGTTTCCTCCTTTTAAGTTATGAGTCATTGTCAAAAGTAAACATTTTAAACTCTTTCCCAGTTAAACAGTTTTAAACCATCAAGGTTCTGCTGTTTTTCTGACAATAATACAACACAAATGAGAACACCCATTTTCCTTGGGCATAGTACAGATAGAAGTCAGAAAATAAAATGTCTTGATGTAGGGTAGTTAACAGACTGCCATCCATAATGATGGATGAATGAATATTAGTTTTGCTTACAATTAATATTGGAATGGACATACTTAGATTGGCTGGGGGTATTCATGTACTTCAGTGTTCCCCATTGTCTCTCTTAGTTTGTTAAGTACCAGGGAATCTGAAGACTAAAATTAGAAACAATTAAGTATATCACAGTTTCCTTAAAGTCTGTCGCCCTTCACATCTTCCTTTTTGAAGCATCAACAGTTTGATGCATTAAATTTATCCAAGTTCTTCTGAGTTTAAGTGACAAACATATGAAGCAGTTTAATTCTTTGAATATGTCAGTATATTCTAAATAAGCAGGTAGGTTGTAATTTAGAACGAATATAATTCCTTACAATTATAGAATATGTTTATATGATTTTACTTCAGATGTTGTTGAAAAATTAAATCATGTATCATGATGGTGCTTATGTAAATTGTGGGAAATTAGAATGGATCTCACAACTTTCTTTGACCTTTCTTATCCATTCTAGTATAACTGCTTACAGATGTATTAGGTATTATATAAACACAGAGAGTTCTGTTGTTATGATTATTGTTTTAGGGGCCACCCCTAGTGGTGCCAAGAGGCCTTGAGGTGCCCGGGTTTGAGCTCAAGGCCTCCCACATGAACCACATGTGCTATACCACGTGACCACATTCCCAACCCTGACCTGAGTTTTTTTTTTTTTTTTGCTTTTTTTGGGGTCACCTCTGGCAATGCACAGGGGTTACTTCTGGCTAATGCACGTAGGAATTACTCCTGGCAGTGCTCGGAGGACCATAAGGGATGCTGGGAATCGAACTGGGCCGGCCGTGTGCAAGGCAAGCACCCTACCTGCTGTGCTATCGCTCCAGCCCCTGAGATTTCTTTTTTATACTTTATTTAAACACTGTGGTTTTAAAAGTTGTTCATAATACATTTGTTATGGGCGTTGATGTCCCAACCCCAGTCCCACCACCAGTTACCTGGCCTCCAGGGTTGTCTGTGGAATGAATAAGCTGTTGGCTGCCACGTTAGCCTTCCATGTTGTTTGTGCTTGTTGAGTTTAGTTAGCTTCTATGTTACTTTCCATCTTATCTGCTGTGCCCCTACTATGATTTCAGTATTGCAAATTCAGAGGCATATTGCAGCCAAGTGGTCTAGAAACTTCAGGATTTGTAGAACTGGGCCTATGAGTTACCATGGCTTCCCGAAGTAGGGGGGGATACCCCCCACTCACAGAAGACCCCAAAGTTCTCAGTCTAAACACTGAAGTGCCTGACATTTTCATGGTTTGGTGTCTCTGCAAAAATAATTTGTGGATCAGTGGAGTTGGGCCATGGACGTGGCAGCCCCAGGGGACTGTGGGTACAGCTGTCAGGACTTTGGCAGGGTGGGGGCTCGGCCACCCTCCTCCCAGGTGCCCCAGAGTTTTCAGCAGGGAGACTGGTATGTATGTGAATTTTAGCAGCTTGGCTGGCATCTCCTCGGAGATTTGGTCATGAATCTGAAGAGCAGGACTGGTGAGCGAGTGGACATGGTGGCTGTGGGGGGTGGACATGGCTGCCGGGGATTTCTGGAAGTATGAGGTGGGGGGTGGGGGAGCCTGGCAAGCTCCCTGTGACGTATTCGATATGCCAAACACAGTAACAACAATGAGGTGGGGGGTGGGGTTAACCTGAAATATTTTTAATAATAATACATAGGAGACATTTTGTTAAATGTATGACTTTTGGAGTTATTTAAGAAAGACACTGTGGTTGTTTTGACAGAGAATTTTGAAACAAAGAAGAATGAGCTAACAAAACAGGGCTTCATGGATCTGAATCTGATGGAGGCCAATGACCAACAAGGAGATCCTGCTGACCTGTGGGTCACTCTGCACTCGATGGGCTACAACAAAGCGCTGGAGCTGACAGAGGTGAAGCCATCTTCAGGGTTCACAGTGGGGTTCACGTACCTAGTATTTTCCCTATGAATGTTTTCCTGACAAGTCTTGAGTTTGACTCACAGATCCCTGAATGAATGAATCTGGGTGTAACAGCATGTTTCTCGTTGAAAGTTAGAAACTACCAACATTGAAGTAATTCAGAAACTAAAGAGTTTGAGTATCTTAGATATGTGAGGAAATTGTATAATCAAGGAAATTATGTGTAATTTCTTGGTTTTGTTTCTTGGGATCACATGTGGCACTGCTCAGGAGACCCTGTGGGGTCAGGGACTGAGCACAAGAGCACAAGGCTCCTACCTGCCAAGCTTGTAGCCCTGCTCTTGGATCTCTCCCCCCACTAGAGATTGTATTTCTTTGTTGCTGTTGGTTAATTGATTTGCTGTTGTTGTTGAAGTTGCTATAGTGTGTTAACATTTAGGGTCTCCAAGTGCGCTTAGCCACACCTCCCCACCACCAAGCTGCCCTCCGCCCTCTAACTGTACTTGCTTTACGCCTAGTCCAACTTTTCGTTTGCTCACCCCTCTTTTATGTTTGTCCTTTGTTTTGGGGATTCACGCAATGGTTCTTGGAGGGATTCTCTGGGCTCGGTGGCCAGGAGTTGTTCCCAGTGGTGCTTGAGGGACTTTCACCCAGGACTCCTGCGTACAGAGCAGGTGCTGTATCCCAGTGAGCTTCTGCCACCAATCCATGGGCGGATGCTGGTCCACATGTAGAGAAATGTTGAGAACCCAGGGTCAAGCACAGTGTTATTACAGTTATAGCACCTATTCTGCATAACTATGGGCCCATATGCAGGACAGGTGCCAGTCTGCAGTTGTGAAGAGATTGAAGACCATTCCTCAAGCTCATTAGGATATTGCCCTAGCCCAGGAATTATATCTCTTAGTGATGGCTGCTTGAATTCCTCAAGTCTCGTTTCTAGAGGAAAGTTCTGTCCTCATGAAATGAAAGCTTTCTTAGCATAATAGGAATGTATATGAGAACTGGAGTTTTTCATCTTTTTTTTTTCACAAGGGTCCTTCTACACTAATGTTAGTAAAGTGTTTGAGACAGTTCATAGAGTGCTTTGTTTATATATTAGCTATGACTATTATCTTTTAATATGATAGGCATAGACGTTGAATAAGATTTGGAGTAAACCAGAGAGTAAAGGCCCTCCCGTTGATCATCGATTTGCTCGAGCGGGCCCAGTAACGTCTCCATTGGAGACTTTGTTGTTACTGTGTCTGGCATATCGAATACTCTCGGTAGCTTGCCGGGCTCTCCGAGAGGGGCGGAGGAATCGAACTCGGGTCGGCCATGTTGGCTGCGTGCAAGGCAGACGCCCTACCCGCTGTGCTATCGCTCCGGCTTATATACTATACTGTAGATAGTACAGAAATATTTGAATCTTTTAGGGACATTTTAGAAATACTGTAAAGGACTTTCAACAATTCATTATACTAAACAGAGTACATTGAAATTAAACAAACTCATGAAACATATGTTCCGGTTTCATAGGAAACAAGAACAAGAACCACAATAGATCCATGAAGACATTCAAGGAGGCCTTTATAATAATTAGCCTGTTGGGGGGTTGGAGTGATAGCACAGCGGGTAGGGCATTTGCCTTGCACGTGGCCGACCTGGGTTTGATTCTCAGCATCCCATATGGTCCCCGAGCACTGCCAGGAGTAATTTCTGAGTGCATGAGCCAGGAGTAACTCCTCTGCATCGCCAGGTGGGACCCAAAAAGCAACAAAATAAAAACAAAATAATTAGCCTATCACAATCTTGGAAAGAATCACTAGGTATAATCAGATTAGGAGAATCCGAAGGATAAGATCTGGCAAAACCAGAATGACTGTGTGACTAGATAAAATTTTCTATGAAAGATCTGATTCTAGTGGGTTCAAATTAGCTAAAATATTAAACTTCAAGAGAAAAAACTTCCCAGGAAAATGAAGGATATGGCAAGTCCATGCTGTATTTGTAACTAAATTAAAGAGGAAATTTGTGGGAGAAGAATTGAGATTCTCTTCTAAAAGACTCTTTGAGCATTTCCAAATTGATTTCCAAATTGAGTCACATCTATTGGTGCTCAGTGGACCTTGGGACTTTCACCAGCAAAGCACATGCTCCAGCCCTGCGAACTCCCTCCCCTGCCTCTGTTCTTACACTAACTTTGAACCAATTTTTTTTCTGTAGTCAGAAAAAAAATTTTGGCCTTTTGGCTAAGATCAAGTGTAGTATCAAGTGTAGTCAGAATCTCATGCTTTCATAAAAGTGCCTGTGATAAACAAGATGGATGAGCCAAAGAAATAGTACCGTGGGTAGGATGCTTGCCTTGCATGGTGCAGACCTGGGTTTGATCCCTGACACCCTGTGTGCTCTCCTTATCCCCACCAGGACTAAGTCCTGAGCACTGCGAGGTGTGACCCAAAAAGGAAAAGAAGCTGGAAAGAACAGTGCATCTTTTTAAAATCAAATGATAAACATGCTTATAATTAATCATCTATTTCAAGTTCTAGTTCTAGAACTTTAAAACTTTAGAATTAAGGCTAAAGTAAGGTTTGCTTCTCTCTTTCCTAATAGGCATGCCCGTTTGTTATCGAAGTATACGCAGACAAGTCCAAACCAAGAATGAAAGCTGTGCAAATGGAGGCCTGCAGTGGGCAGCTTGAGAAGGCCATTTGTAAGTCTGTCCTTAGCAAAGGCGAGGCCAAAGCAATGGATGGCTATGACAATATCATCGTGCATACTTACAAGCACGACAACTGGATCACATCAGTGATTGAAAACAAGGTATCAGCCATTTGGTGATTCTCATAACTGCGATGTTTACAAATATGTGTCATCTTCTTTCTCATTGTATTCTTGTGTAGTAATTGAATATCCTGTTTCATTTATACTAATAATCACAGGCAGTTCGTCTTTCCCTAAGGTTCTAACTCAAACTGGGCATGATATTTGTTTTCTTTGGGGGCCCCACCTGGCAGTGCTCTGGGCTTATTTGGGCTCTGTGCTCAGGGATCACTCCTGACAGTGCTTGGGGCTTACCCCTCAGGTCCTGGCATTAGACCTCTGGCCCAGCTGGTTTCGAGTTCCTGGGAGTGGTCCACTAGGGTCCCCTAAGCACCTCTTGAGAGCCCTCCCCTTCAAAAGAATAAGTCCTATAGACTATCATCATTCTAATGATTAAATATATCCACTGTCCAGGACCTGTTTTGTCAAACCAGTTATTTCCAGCTTTGGCCTTCCTTCCAGCTACAACAGATGGTGCAAGATAAGAGATAACAGCATACATTCCTTCTTTCGGGAGAGTGCAGCTCTGAATTGCTATTCAGGAGGCCCAGGAAGCTACTCTTGGAAATATTCAACCAGCCAGATGACAATTCAATGATGCTAGGGCCCAAGGAACAGTAACCGCATATGCCCTGAACAGCCAGGACCACCAGGGTCATCCTGAAGGGTGCTGGAAGGGGGTCATATGATACTGGGATCAAATGGGGGACCCTCACTTGCCAAGCGTGTGCCCCTAATTCCTGAACTATCCCCCTGTCTACAGCACACATTCTAAAAGGAAGCAAAATCCAGTTTCTTAGAAACTATGAATTTCATGAAATCTGATTAGAGGTGACAAAGTTTTTAGGACCATTGACTTCTTTAAGTTCCTAGGTGAGACTTACATCATCATCATCATCATCATCATTATTATTATTATTATTATTATTTGCTTTTTGGATCACACCCGGCAGTGCACAGGGGTTACTCCTGGCTCTGCACTCAGGAATTTCTCTTGGCGTTGTTTGGGGGACTATATGGGATGCGGGGAATTGAACCCTGGTTGGTTGCGTGCAAGGCAAACACCCTACCCGTTGTGCTATCACTCCAGCCCCGACTTACATTACTTTTAAGCCTTTCACACATATCTTAAATTACTTAGAGTTTGGCTAGTTATTATGTCCATATGAATCTATATTGTTTAATAGCACCCCTAACACAGGAGGGATCACCAGGAAGTATAACATGCTCTCTGCTTTCGAAGAGTTTATTTCCTAGTTGGAAAGATAAAACAAAATACTCTGGAAGGGGATCCGAGAATAATTAAGAGATAATTAATAATGAAGAGTTCAGAACTATGCCATGTTTGCATCTCTTATAATTGATGTTAGTTTAGATAATAGAATCTGGGAAAGGATTTATGGTTAGAAGTGGGCTGTGTGTGGGACTTGAATGAGTGAGTAGAATTTTTGTCAGGGGGAGCCGACCCTGCAATGCTTAGGGGCTACTGTAGGGTCAGTGCCAGGAGGTCATCCCTGGCAGTGCTCAGGGGACCATGCAGTGCCAGGGGTGGACCCGGGCTTCTTTCATGCAAAGCACGTGCTCCAGCCCTTTGAACCATCTCTCCAGCCCCTGAAGAATAACAGGAAGCCAGAGATGCAGAGTGCAGCATTACCTGCAGGAGCGGGAGCAGGAAGCAAGGAGGAAAGAGTTGGCCTAGCTCCTTTGCAGGAGCACAGGGTTTTACTTGGAGAAGCATTAGGAAGGCAGACAAATGAACAGCTTTGGCACCATGGGTCCAGATTATACGTGTCATCTTGAAAACAAGATGACAGGGTTTGGATTTGGGGAAGTGAGTGAGCCAGGGGCCGCAGCTCAAGGACTGCAGTGTTGAGACGGGCCTGTAAGCTGTGGAGGGGGGTCCTCGTCCAGCCCCACTGCCTGCCTGGGTGTGGGCTACAGTCGAGGACAGTCACCATGTTGTCCCTCTGCTCTGCTGTCCCCTCCCCTTCCTCACCTTCCATCACTCTCTTTCCCTTGGGAGAAAATCAAGCTGCCCAGCACCACAATGAGGCACTAATCCTATTTTAATCACATCCCGTGGGTTAACACCTGCACTTCTCACAGCGCCCAGGTAAGTACTAGCCCCACTTTACACACAGGACCCAGGACATTCCAGCCCACAGTTCACAGCGCTGGGCAGCAGAAGAGCTGTGGACCGGGGTGGCCTGACACAGCACTTCTCAGTGCTGGTGTGGGGAGCATAGGACCCTGATGGGGGGGTCACAGAGGGAAGTGGGAAGCCAGGAAAGCAGAAGTGACTGAGCCCAGGAAGCAGGGGGCAGGTGGAGAAATGCTGGGGTGACTGCGGGCGTGGTGAGCTTCCGGTGGGGTTCTCAGGCTTAGCCTGTTGGAGCCTAGCAGAGAAAGTGCACTTCTCTGCGTCTTTCCTCTCTCTGTCACCTCCCCTGGCTCCTGGAGGCCGTCTGCTGTTATCCCTGGGTCACTTCCATCAGGCCCTCCTCAGCCCAGAGCTCAGGTTCTGTCTCCAGGGGGTCTGCTGAGTTTGGGGGGGTTCGTGAATCCCTCTCTCGGGGGTCTTACAGGTGGTGCTGTGATCCCCCTTTGCTCAGCATGTATTGAAGGGAGACTCAAAGCTTGTGGCATCTCTTTCTACAGTCTGACAATAAAGCGATTATTCACATCAACAACGAGCAGAGTAAAAACTGCGTCAACAACCGAGGTCTCAACATATTCGCCGTGGAAGTGGCGAACAAGTCCGCAATGGTAACACACCGTTCTCTGACCCAAAATGCGATTGCTTTTAATACTATTATTAATTATTATTATTAATTATTATTAGTATTAATTCAATTAATATACAATTATATAATTACATTATTAACATAATCATTAAATTATGAGATAATTCAATACTATTATTAATAACTGTGTAGCAGTGATATGATTTAGACCATCATTTTATGCATGTTGGATGTAGCACTGTATGTCCTCCCCTTGTTCATCGATTTGCTTGAATGGGCACCAGTAACATCTCCATTGTGAGACTTGTTACTGTGTTTGGCATATCTGATATGTCACAGGTAGCTTGCCAGGCTTTGCCGTGGGGGCGAGATACTCTCGGTAGCTTCCGGGGCTTCTTGGAGAGGGGCGGAGGAATCGAACCCTGGTCAGCCATGTTGGCCGCATGCAAGGGAAATGCCCTACCCGCTGTGCTATCGCTCCAGCCATGTTATTTCCATTAATATCATCCTATACTAGGCTGATTCTAATCCAGTCTCACTGTTTGGTTAAGTAATTAGGGCATGTTCACTTAATCATGCTGTTTAAATATAAAATGAATGTAACATCACAGTTGTAAGTACTTTAGAAGGTTAATATAAAAATAAAAATTCATATAGGTGAAAACACTTGTAATCACAAAGTGGTATTAAAAAAGAAATTTTTATCATCCAAACATTTTTATCGACATTATTAATATTTTCTAAGGTAAGCTGAATGAGTTTTGGATAGCAAACCATCTCCGCAGCCAGGAAGAGCTCTAGTTCTGGCGTTAGCAAAACTCTGGCTTTCCCACTCAGCCAGGGGTTAAAGGCAAGGACAGATCAGGAGACCCCGAAACTCTGTTTTGATTTTGTTTGAGAACCATGTCTGGAGGGGTCCAGGGTTTACTCCTGGCTCTGTGCTCAGGGATCTCTCCTGCTAAGGCTCTGAGGAGTCTATGGGATGCCAGAAATCAAACCAGAAATCAAATCAAATCAACCATGTGCCAGGCAAGCTCCCTAATTGCGCTCCTGTTTCTCTGGCACACAAACTTTTTAAGTCACGGTCACGGTCACGGTCCTCCCATTGTTCATCGATTTGCTTGAGCGGGCCCAGTAACGTCTCCATTGGAGACTTTGTTGTTACTGTGTTTGGCATATCGAATACGTCACGGGGAGCTTGCCAGGCTCTGCTGTGCGGGCAAGATACTCTCGGCAGCTTGCCGGGCTGTCCAAGAGGGGCGGAGGAATTGAACTCGGGTCGGCCATGTTGGCTGCGTGTAAGGCAAACGCCCTACCGCTGTGCTATAGCTCCAGCCCAAACTTTTTAAGTAAATGGACAAAAGATCGAATTTGGCATTCTTGACTTGTACTTCTCCACATTAACTGTGAAACACTAAGACATTGTAGAACAGAAGAAAGAGAAATGATCTCCTGTTATTTAAAAAAAGAATTTTAGGAAATGTTCTCGGTTTAATGAAGAAAAGAGTATTTTTATTCTCTCTTCCTTTCCCGACCCACCCCCAACTCTCAGCTTCTTCGTCAGAGTAAAATTTAGGCTGGAGTAAACAGGCTTTATCCTGTTGGACATCAGATCCTAGCTATTTGCTTTTTAAATATCGGGTTAGAAATTTTGTCTTTTTTTTTTAATTGGGTTAGAAATGTTAGAAAATCAGATAATGATCTCTGACCGGAGAGTGACGCCTCCTGTCGTTATAGGTCTGCCAGCACGTGATGCCCCTGGATGAGCGGCAGGAGGGGCTGAGCCACTGCGTCTATTCCCTCGTGTCCTGACACCCTTCCTGCACCCCCGACTCCACCTGGGACCGGCCAACTCTGAAGAATGATTTCTTGTTTGAGTCTCTTTATTTTTTGTTCATCAGCCAGATGCTAATCAATTTAACTGATGTACATACACCATGATTGATTTACCATTTATATTTTCTCTGTTCACGTGCTTTATTATTAAAATAGAATAATGTTCTTAATTTGTGTACTTATTAATGGGAAATCAGGGCACATTTCAGTTATGAATATTAAATTAAAATAGTTTCATCAGTCAAGTTTTTAAATAAGGTTGGGTCAATTTTTCAAAATCTTACACACTTTTTGGTTTATAATATAATAATAATAATAATTATTATTATTATTATTATTGCTTTTTGGGTCACACCCAGCGATGCACAAGGGTTACTCCTGGCTCATGCACTCAGGAATTACTCCTGGCGGTGCTCAGAGGACCATATGGGATACTGGGAATTAGACCCTGGTCAGCCGCATGCAAGGCAAATGCCCTGCCCTCTGTGCTATTGCTCCAGCCATGTCATTTCCATTAATATCATCCTATACTAGGCTGATTCTAATCCAGTCTCACTGTTTGGCTAAGTAATTAGGGCATGTTCACTTAATCATACTGTTTAAATATAAAATGAATGTAACATCACAGTTGTAAGTACTTTAGAAGGTTAATATAAAAATAAAAATTCATATAGGTGAAAACACTTGTAATCACAAAGTGGTATTAAAAAAGAAATTTTTATCATCCAAACATTTTTATCGACATTATTAATATTTATTATTTTTTTATTATTTTATATATATTTTTTATATATTTTAATATATATATTTATATATAATATATAATTTATTAATAATTAATAATAAACTCAGGTCCCTGGTTTATCTTATTCGTGGACCAGAACAAGACCAGGGAAGTGGCTCAGGTGGCTGGGTACATGATATACAGGAGACTCTAAATCCCTGCCCTCCCCATTGGGTGTGGCCCTCTGCCTGCTCCCCACAAGGAAATGAAGACCTACAAGGAAATAGAAATGTGTCAGCTGCTGGGCACAGAGCCTGGTGGAGCCAAGTATCCAGAGGCCACAGGTGTTGCTTGGGCCAGCACTGGGGTGACTGGGGTGGGGCTGGGAGTTCAGGAGACCCTTGGTCCCTTCTTCCTGCTGTACCCACCATGCAGACTGCAGCGTCCATGCCCTCCTCTTCCGCCCTGACCTGTGCCCTCCTCGGGGTTCCCTAGTGCCCAGGCCCCTCTGTCCAGGCAGGCGGCCTCTCAGGAGGCCCTTGAGGTGGGGTGAGGGGAGCAGCAGCGCACAGTGGGATGTTGGCGGGACTCCTGGCTTCAACAGAACCTGATGGCAGAAGGCTGCTCAGGTGTGACTTGGTACTGGGACACTGAGCTGCTCCATTTTGCAGGAAATGGCATGTTCCAGAACGAGACCTCTGCTGAGAAACTCCTGCCCTGCGAGAACCCAGTGTCCAAAGCCAAAACCATAATCTCGTAATCTCTGAGGTCAAAGGCAGGCAGACACTGATGCCTTAAGGGAAAGGCACAGGGTGCTGAGAGATGGCTCAAATGTGAGCACATGTTTGAGAGCAGGAGCCCCAGATTTGCTCCTCAGCATCACTGGGTCCCCTGAGCAGCACTGAGGGTAGCCCCCCTGTATCACCAGGTATGGACCCCAAACAAAACAGAACAAATGGAGTTTCTTCAACTTTTTTTTTTTTTTGCTTTTTTTGGGTCATACCCAGTCATACCATAGGGGTTATCCTGGCTCTGCACTCTGGAATTACTCCTGGTGGTGCTCGGGGGACCATATGGGACCATATGGGATGCCAGGGATTGAATACAAGTCGACCTTGTGCAAAGTAAACGCCTTCCCCACTATACTATCTTTCCAGTCCAGTTTCCTCAACTCTTAAGATAAATAAGCATTCTCTCAGCGCACATGCCTGACAAGTATAAGGTCCTGAGTTCTGTCCCCGGCCCAGCACTGAGCACCATCACGCCAGTGCCTTTGATTTTTACTTGGTGTCATAGGAGGTCAGTGGGCTGTGACCACCCCCCACGGGATATGAAGCAGCCAGTTTTGTGACCCTCCCACATTAATTTGAACCCCGTTGCTGCCAACTCCAGAAGTAACCACAGAGGGATAGTTTGATCAGAGCCACATGTCCATGAAAAGATACTCTTGAAGATAACATTTGCTACTTACTTCTTGCATGGCTCTTACATAGATAGTATCTAACCACAGACCTAACATCCCCTGAAAGTAAGTAACCACATACTCCGCTGCCAGATGTTAGCAATTTCCAGGTACCCGCTTCTCGCGAGAGTTCTGTTGTAATAACCATAGAAACTGGAACCCCTGCTTGGGAGGGTGAGGAGCGCTGCTGAGCGCATGCGCGGGCCGTTGCTTCTCCAAACCAGCCCTCACCTTGACTCTGAAAACAAAGATTCCTTGTTCCCCTCCCCTAACAGTGACAGCGCTGGTGACTGTTTCTCCATTGCTCATGCCGTAAGAAATCTTGTAACTTGAAGACGTGAGCAGCTCAAGACATGCAGGGTATTGCTTGCATTATTTGTAGCACTGATGAAAAAAAAATGTTCCTACGAATCCATGTGGCTTCCAGCTCTGCCTCTGACGGCGTGGTGGAGGAGGACTCCATCTCAGTTCTGGAGTCCCCACATGTCCTTCCCCTCGCCCCCAGGAAACACCTGCATAGGAAATTCATGCTGGTCTGCAGGTGTAACAAAGTCTGAAGAGATCCTGCCCTACCGGAAGCAGCGGTAGCAAACCAGCAGGGCCCTTTACCTTGCATGTGGCTGACTTGGTTTAAGCCACAACCAGTGTGCCAAACTGCTTTAGGGCTCTTTCAGGCCACAACCAGTGGGGCTCAGGGATCACCCCTACCGGGGATCAGAGAACCCTGTAGGGTGCTGAGGGTCGAACCCTGTTCCGCTATGTGTAAGGCAAGTGCTCCATCTGCTGTCTTATCGATCTCCCCTGAACCATGGCAAAACTGTGTGTTGCCACCACAGTTCCCAGAGTACCTGAACCCAACGCTCCTGCTCCCAAAAATCTGAGTCTGCCAAAGAGGCCACACAGCTGAGCCCTGAGTGGAGGTACCAATATGCCAATACTTGACAATGCTTCTCAGAGCTGCATTATTTTTGCCTTGGCTCCACACCTGCCAGTGCTCAGGGGCTAATCCTAGCTCTTTGCACAGGAATAACCCTTGGAGGTGTGAGGAGCATTATGTAGTGATGAAAAAGGCAAGCGCCTTAATTCCTGTGCTATTACTCCAACCCCAAGGGATGGACATTTTTCTAAAGTGTCACACTTAAGAATTTCAAATTTATGTATTTCAAATATAGCATTCAGCCACTTATCAGCTTCATAGCAATAAACTTGTGACCATACTAAGAAATTATTAACAAGGAAGAAGAAAAATATATAGATGCAGAAACAGCTGTTTATTTATATGGCTGTTTAGTTTTCCAGTAACTAAAAAAAAATGAAAGCAAGGGCCAGAGAGAGAGAGAGCACAATAGGTTAGGCACTTGGTTTGCATACGGCTGACCCAGGTTTGATCCCCGGGACCTCGTATGGTCCCACAAGCCCCAATTCCCTGAACACAGAGCTATAAGCAAGCTCTGAGCACTGTTGGGTATGACCCCCAAACCAAACCAACAAACCCCAAACCACCAAATGTGGAAAAAAAAATCTTTCTTTCTCCTTGGGATCACACCCAAGAGTGCTCAAGGATTCCTCCTGGCTCTCCACTCAGGAATCGCTCCTGGCTAGCTCAGGGACCCATATGTGTGCTGGGGATCTAAACGAGTCGGCCACATGTAAGGCAAATGCCCTACCTGCTGTACTATCACTTCGACCCCAAAACACTATATTAAGCAGCTAAAAACCATCTCTCTGAGAAAGAGAAGAAAAGTGCCTGCCATAGAGGCAAGTGGGGTGGGTGCGGAGAGGGAGAGAAACTGGAAATGTTGGTGGTGGGAAATATGACTAGTGAAGGGATAGGTATGACTGAAACCCAGTAATGAACAACTTTGTAACTGTGTATCTCACTGTGATTCAATTTAAAAAAAAGCCTCACCATATCAGTTATATAATAATTGGCTAGTAAGGGTGGACTAGAGAGAGAGATAGTATAGTAGGTAAGATCCTTGCCTTGCACAGGTCCAGCCTGGCCAGTAGTGATCTCTACATATAGAATTAGGGTTAAGTCCTGAGCATCACTGGGTATAACCTAACTCCCTTCCCCAAGATCTAAAAATGAAATCAAACTTCAAATTTTTACTGACTAGTATGCAGGGTTTTTTTTTTTAATTTTTAATTTTATTGAATCATGGTGAGATAGAGCATTACAGAGCTGTTCATGATTTGGGTTCAGTCATATAATGTTCCAACACTCATCCCTCCACTGTGTAATCTCCCAGCACCAGTATTCTGATTTCCCTCCCACCCCCCTAAACCATCCCTCTAAATCACCCCCCACCCTCGCCTGCCTCTATAGCAGGCACCTCTCTTCTCTCCATTTCTCTCTCTCTCTCTCTCTCTCTCTCTCTCTCATTTTAGGCATTGTGATTTGCAAAACAGATGCTGAAAGGTTATGAAGTATATCCCTTTACCTACTTTCAGCACTCAGTTCTTGTCCAGAGTGATTACTTCCAACTAATATAGTCATTGCCGAGGAGCGATAGCATAGCAGTAGGGCATTTGCCTTGTGCACAGCCGGCCGGCTGAGCCGGGTTTGATTCCTCTGCCCTGCTTGGAGAGCCCGGCAAGCTACTGAGAGTATCTCGCCCGTACAGCAAAGCCTGGCAAGTGACCCGTGACATATTCAACATGGCAAACACAGTAACAAGTCTCACAATGGAGACGTTACTGGACCCACTCGAGCAAATCGGTAAACAACGGTAGGACAGTGCTACAGTGGACAGTGCTACAATATTGTCATAGTGGACCCTCCTCTGTTTTAACTACCCTCCACGTCCCCCACCCTCGTGGTAATTTCTAATCACTGACCAGTCCTCCTGGCCCATTTTCCCTGGCCTTGGATATTAGTTTCATACTTTTTTTTTAATATCCCACAAATAAATGCAGTCATTCATGATCTAGTGTGCAATTTTAAATGGGAAAAAAAGACTAGGTGATACCCATTCTTTCTTACTCCAAGGTTTCATAGTTGTGATATTTGAAAGGCAAATTAGTGTTAAGGATTAAAAAAAGTCATAAACAATTCTTATAGTTAATAATAATGCTGGTTTCACATTTGGCATTGTAGTCAACTTGTTTTCTAACATAAAAAGTCAGTGGCCTTCTGTTAGATCTATTTTGGTATAGGGACTTGAAACTTAATATGCCACACAACATAGTTTGGATATGATCCAGGAAAACTAAAATGTATTTCTGAGTTTGGACACTAGAGGGTGTATATATATGTACACTCTAAGTATATAAACACACCATATGTTTATACATCATATGTATATATACATTAACCACATATATACATATATATATGGAGAGAGATTAGACCAATTAATCATATTTTCAGCCCTGGCTAAAGACTTTTATATTTTTCTAAGACGAGTTTAGTGAAATATTCTGTATACTATGACTAGATATACATGTGGGCATATGTACACATTCTTATTAGAGAAAATGTAGAAATGATTTCTAACTTGCAAAGTGGGCGTCCGGCCTTTTGCTCTTACAAAGGTCTAACCACATAGCCTCCCCAACTATTCCAGGAGTGACCCCAAGCACAGAGCTGGAGGAACCCTGAGTACAACCAAGTCCCCCCCCCCACAAAAAAGCAAAAGATCTGATGAAATGGCGTACCACAAGACATCTCTTTAAAGTGTCTTTAAAAATCTGCATTTATCTTTATGCCTCAATGGATGCATCTGATGCCAGCGTACGTGCATTGAAAGTACAGACAATTATTTTTGCCCAATACACAACGGATAGCTTGCCAGGCTCTGCTGTGCAGGCGGAATACTCTCAGTAGCTTGCCAGGCTCTCCGAAAGGGTCAGAGGCTTTTCGGGAGGCCTCTAATCGCCCTTGTAGGTGTTCCCGTGGTCGAGACCATATTTGAATATGGTCTATCCTATCAAATATGGTGTGGCAATCCTGGATGATGGGTATTAAGTGTCTTATGATGTGTCACGAGTCAAGACCCTGAACGATCGGTTTGAGGCTCTTCGTGTTCCTAGAACGAACAGACGCCACTGGGCTACACTAGCATGCGACAGGGACAAATGGAGACGTTACTGGCGCCTGCTCGAGCAAATTGATGATTAACAGGAAGTCAAGTGATCAAGTGATTTTTATGCCATTTAACAAATTAATACAGACTACTTTACTTTATAGAAGACCCCCCCCGGAAGTAAGAAAAAACAAATTAACATATATCAATCTTTTTCACATGTAACTTCATGTTTAATCAGCTGACACAAAAACTTAAGTTCAGAAGCTATTATTATTTTGCACAGGTACAAACTTGATTTTAGAATCACAGGCTCCAGATACTGAAAATCTTCTATTCAAATCAAAGTTTTTAAGCATCTGAGTAATGTATGGGTCTAAGATAGACTTTGGGCAGTTCCATCTTGCTTCCATATGGAGGAGCCAGTCATTTCAGGGAATTACAAATAGATCAAGATTGAGCACAATGAACCATGTCTGCAGCCAGGGAGAATCTATGCTTTGGATTTAGCAAATGAGCTAAAATGACACTTGCAGTATTGTTCACATTCATTCGTATGGGTTCACGTGACATCATCAATCAGTCATTTGCCGGCGATACAATTAATTGAAATTTCTGGTTGAGTCATAATTTACCTATCTCACCAGAATCTGTAAGAGAGAGGTTTCTTTCAGGACAGTTGAGCTGCTGAGAGGAGAGCTACTTAAAGGCCTAAACTGGCTATCATGCCAAGATTCTTCAATACACAAGTCCATCACTACCTGATGCTCCTAGTAGGGAGTTAAATATGCACATAGATTAATGTTTTGCTTTGAAAAGTGTAATGCCTGGAATATTTTCTTCTATTAAGTGCTATCTAGGTGCTTTCCAAAGCCTTGCCCACAGGTTAATGAATTACTTTAGAGTATTGAATTTTTTTGTTCTAATTCTCTACTTAATATCAAAGACATTATAGAAGTTAATTTCTTTTTGGGGTGTGGAGGCCACACCAGGAAGTGTTCAGGGAGAACTCCACACCAGGTGTCAGGGATTGAACCTGGGACAGCCAGACGTAAAATGTCTACTATCTCTTGATCTATTTTTATACTTTTATCGCCATATTCTTTGTTTTCTTTTTGATGAGAAAGAAACCCAGGGCCTTTCACATAAAAGGTATGTGCTGTAGCCAACTTTTCAATCCTACCTTAGACTATAAAAATAATTTTTCTTTTGGGTTCACTAAAAGCTCCAACCCCCTTCCCCATGGAAACTTCTCTATTCATATATCATTAAAAAGTAAAGTAAAGTAAAGGCCCTCCCTTTGATCTTCGATTTGCTCGAGCGAGCCCAGTAACGTCTCCATTGTGAGACTTTGTTGTTACTGTGTTTGGGATATCGAGTACGTCAAGGGGAGCTTGCCAGGCTCTGCTGTGCGGGCGAGATACTCTCGGTAGCTAGCCGGGCTCTCCGAGAGGGGCGGAGGAATCGAACTCGGGTCGTCTATGTTGGCCGCTTGTAAGGCAAACGCCCGACCGCTGTACTATCGCTCCAGCCCAAATATCATTTATCTATATAAAAAAAATCCATGTAACAAACATGAATTATTAAACAGATAATGGTATCTCCTACAAATTAACTTGGTTTTACTTCTCTCCCAGTCTGAATGTTTATATAAACTATCTACTTCAAATGATGGCTAATGGACTTTAAATTCCTATTATTTGCCCGGTGAGTATTCTAAACTCCAGAATTCTATAAGGGACACGTTTCTGAGCCTTCTTTAAGCGGGGAAAGAGGATTTCAAACTTTCCATGTCCAGAATAGAATCCATGACCATCCTTATCATCCCTCCCTCCCCTCCTCCCCCCCCAACCGGTTATCTCAGCTCTAGGAATCAAAGTTCTGTTACACGAATGACCGAGCCACATGTTGGCGATCAGACGTGTTCTCCCCTATCTCTGCACGCACCTACACTGATCAAGGACTCTCTGTGAGTTTTCTCCTGCTCAGACCCCGCGGCCGGTGGGCAAGCCCTGGCCCTTGCTTTGGGAGCCTAATTCCCCTTCAAGGGCTCTGCGACCTTGGCAAGACTTTTGATTCTTTCACCTCTATTTTGCAAGCAGAAAGCAAAGGGAAAGAAAACCTGCGTTTAGTGAGGACTGGAGGCGTTAGGTAAATATTAGATGATGGTCGTGGCGAGCCTGCCCGTCCAACCAATGGGCACCACGCCCGCCGTCCATCCCAAACACGCGGAGAGGAGGTCGAAGCAGACCTTTGGAGCTGACTCTTTCCGAACACACAAACGCTCGTGTTTGGAGAGAGAGCCTGCCTGAATTCTAGCTGAAGCTGGCACGGCCCTCTTGCAGGTTTCCAGAATAGAGTTCTTTGCACCAGCTCAGTCCAGCAGATTGTTCGACTCTGCATTCCCTCCCACCCCGCCTCACATTCGTCCCTTCCCCAAGCTCTGCGCTGCCCTTCTGGGGTGGGGGTGGAGGTTGCAACTGGGCAGATTTGCGCCTTGCAGGGCGCAGCCTGGCGACGGGGCGGGCCGAGGCGAGGCTCCACCCACGGCCCCGCCCGCCCCTGGGCGCTGCTTCCCGGACCCGCCAGGGCCCTATAAGGAGGCGCGGGGCCGCCGAGCGCCGGGAGGAGCAGCTGCCGGCCGCGGCCACCATGGTGCGCATCGTGACGGTGAAGACGCAGGCGTACCCCGACCAGAAGCCGGGTACCAGCGGGCTGCGGAAGCGCGTGAAGGTGTTCCAGAGCAATGCCAACTACGCGGAGAACTTCATCCAGAGCATCGTGGCCACCGTGGACCCGGCGCAGCGGCAGGAGGCCACGCTGGTGGTGGGCGGGGACGGCCGCTTCTACATGCGCGAGGCCATCCAGCTCATCGTGCGCATCGCCGCGGCCAACGGGGTAAGGGACGCGCGGGCCGGGCGCGCGCCGGCCGCCCCGACGCCACTTCCGCGCGCCGCCCCGCGCGGAACGGTCCCCGGGGCCGGGGGAAGCCGGCCTTGACCTTGGGAGGCCCCACTCCGCCCCCTTCTCCCTTCCCCACCTTCCCCCTGCCCCACCCCCTTCCCAGGCCGCCGACCTTTGCATTAACCTTTGCAACAGCGCAAGCTACTATTACAGTGGCCGCGGCCGTGGCCTCATCCTGGCGAGCGAGCGAGGCGGGGCAGCTGCGGCCCGATCCCCTAGTTTGTCCCCTCCTACCCCCCACGGCTGCTACACTCGCTCAGGACTGGCTCTGAGCCCGACGCTGCCAGGCTGGGGCTGTTGGCACACCCCCTGCGGCTTGGAAAAGCCTAGTTTTTACCTAGGGGTGCACCCGCCTTGCCCCGCCCCTGTCCCCCACCCCCTGCGAGGGGCTGGTGCAGAATTGTCTTTGCAGCTGGAAGATGCCCAGGGGTGCACCGAGGCCTGCGGTCTTGGCGGCCTCCAGGGGCCAGGCCACTCCCCAGCCACGGTACTGTGTTAAGTGATCCAGTTGGGCGGGCCCTCTGGCAAAGGGGAAACTTTAACCGAGTTCATAGGAAAACGGGCAGTGATTGTTTTTGTTTTGTTTTGTTTTCCTTCAGCAGTGCTCGGGGATCACTCCTGTGTGATATCTGGGATCTAACTGGGTGGGCTATGCACAAGGCAAATGCCTGCCCCCGTTACTCTCTCAAACCACCCCCACCCACAAGTTTCTATATTTAAAGATTGGACATATACCCAACTCTTCTGGAACTCACTTCCTTAGCTTGTGCTCCTTTGAGGAGTACTTTTTTTTTTTTTTTCCTCTTTGGGTCACACCCGGCAATGCACAGGGCTTACTCCTGGCTCTGCACTCAGGAATCACTCCTGGCAGTGCTCGGGGGACCATATGGGATGCCGGGAATTGAACCCATGTCAGCCGTGGGCAAGGAAAATGCCCTACCCGCTGTGCTATAGCTCCAGCCCCGAGGAGTACTTTTATTAAGGCCACAGGTGCCATGTTGTTGAGCACCTCGGGATCCCTTGATTTGCGGCCTGTCTCCCTCTTGCAGCGGGGTGAGGTTGATGCTATTATGGGCATCTGCTAGATGCCAGCGAGATAGAGCTTCAGAGTTAGGCAGGTTAAACAGGGATCCGAGGGCCACCCTGAGAATGAACCGGCAGAGACCCACCAGTTCCAGGAACTTCTGGAACTTCTGGGAAGGAGGGAACCTCAGAACTAAGGATCGAATTTCCTGGCTTCCCCCAAATCTGTAGAGGGCCCAGAATGAAAATGGTCATGCATCTGTACGAGAAGATTAGGCTCGTTTCCCCTGTGCTCCAGACTCTGCAGCCATGCGCAGAGGGCCTGGAGTGTGGCTCAGTGGTAGCGCATGTGCCTTGCATCTGTGAGGTTTTGGGTTCGATCCCTGGCAAAAGCTGTAGCTGCAGCAACAACAAACCAAGCCCAGATTGCCATGAAAGACAGACAAATCTGAGTCTCAACACAGCCTTCTGCGTCTGCAGCCTCCAGTGCTGAATTTGTGTTTTGTTCATTTCATCAGCCATGCTCAGACTCGGGTGCAGTGAAAAAATTGATGCAGACGCAAGGTCTGTCCTTCAGGAGCTGACGGGGCAGTGATGTTTTAGGGGTCCAAAGGAAAAATTGCCCGTTTGGGAGCCGTGGTGGAGGGGAGGAAAGAACTTTCTTTCTTTTTTTTCGTTTCTTTTTTTTTTTTTTTTTGCTTTTTGGGTCACACCTGGAGATGCACAGGGGTTACTCCTGGCTCTGCACTCAGGAATTACTCCTGGCAGTGCTCAGGGGACCCTATGGGATGCTGGGAATCGAACCCAGGTTGGCCTCATGCAAGGCAAACGCCTTCCCCACTGTGCTATCGCTCCAGCCCTGGAAAGAACTTCCAAACCTCTTAGCTGCCGCCCTTGGGGGCACCCATCCCTAGGGGGCCTTCGTCCTGCCTCCCTGCTCTGTCCACCTCTCTGATCTGGCTTTGCCTGCTCCACCTCACCTCTGGCTTTATTCCCCGCTCTCTGTCCTCGGAAACCCTGAAGCACTTGTTTGGCCCTTTCATGGACTTCCGGTTGCTTTTGGCCCTGCTGAATTTTGCCCCTTTTCCCAGTTCTTGTTCCTTTGTCCTGCTCGCTTCTACCGGGTCACCCTGTTCCTCTGTGCATGGCCTGTCCTGCCCACACCTCCTGGGATTTTCTTCTCTCCTCACCAGGGATTTCAACCCGCTGTTCTCTCTCTTCTGTTGGAATGCGCTTCCAACGACATTTTCAGAGAGGTCGCCCCCCAGTCTCTGGAGGTCGCCTCCCAGTCTCTGCTGCTCTCCGCCCCACTGTGCAATCCTCTCCCCTGTGGGGCTCCCCCAGGGAAGGGGCTTATCCCCAGTGCAGATGATGGGATCTGTCCGAGGGCCCGGGACAGTGACACTCAGGGATTCCTTCCATGGGAGCTTGTGTGGGGTGCGGCACCCAGCGTTGGCTCCCGGGGACTCTCCACTGTTCTCAGGAGACACTTAGGTGGGCTCCCTCTGGCTGGGATCTTGGGAAAGCTTTGTCCTGGAGGCCAGTTGGACTAGAGGAAACGGCCGAGGGTGGGTGCTAGGTGGAGGGAGGGGGTTTGGTGGTGATTCGGGGGAAGGAGAGGGAGAGGGGGGCTGCACAGAGGGGTGTGGATGAGCCGGAGTTGTTAAGGTGACATTCTCAGGACCATGATCTTCAGCAGAGTGAACACAAATCAGAGTTGGAGGTTGCTCTTTTGGGTGGGTTACAGGGTTTGGTTATTGTAATTTGGGTCTTATGCTTACAGTGTTGTTGGTTCTGTGGTTTAAGTATATACATATATACATGTACCATATACATGGGCTGGAGCGATAGCACAGCGGTAGGGTGTTTGCCTTGCACGCAGCCAACATGGCCGACCCGAGTTCGATTCCTCCGCCCCTCTCGGAGAGCCCGGCAAGCTACCGAGAGGATCTCGCCCGCACAGCAGAGCCTGGCAAGCTCCCCGTGATGTATTCGATATGCCAAACACAGTAACAACAAAGTCTCCAATGGAGATGTTCCTGGGCCTGCTCGAGCAAATTGATGAACAACGGGAGGACAGTGACAGTGACAGTGACCATATATATACATTGTTTTAAAACTCATAGTAAAAATATTGTTTATAACTTTTTTTAGTCTGCTGTTAATTTTTATGGGAAACCTTGACTTATAAGATGAAGCAAGAGAATGAGCTCATGCAATGTTTTCAAGTTAATCTTGGTACTCAGAAAAATCGGGCTGGAGCGATAGCACAGCGGGTAGGGCGTTTGCCTTGCACACGGCCAACCCGGGTTTGAGTCCTCTTTCCCTCGCGGAGAGCCCGAAGTATTCTGCCTGCACGGCAGAGCCTGGCAAGCTCCTTGTGGTGTATTCAATATGCCAAAAACAGTAACAACAAGTCTCACAATGGAGACGTTATTGTGCCAGCTTGAGCAAATCGATGAACAACGGGAGGACGGTGATACAGTGCTACTGGGTTCTGACTCCCCACCCCCGGCCCGAGTGCTTGGGTTAGGCCCTGAGTTCAGTCCTGGCACTGCACCAGCACCTTGCAGCCCCGCACCCCTACCCTCAGGACCTCCTGAGCACTTCAGGGTTGGCCCCGGGGACCCCCTGGCCCCCACCCCAGCACCACATAGTATTGCCAAGTCCTGAACTCAGCTGGGTTGAGTATTGCTGGGCGGGTCCCCCAGGGTTCCCTGCCAGTGCTTGGGTGCCTCGGCCTCCCCAACCTCCTCAGCAGCCCCTTGTTGTGTGGGGTCCATTTAAAGGACACTGAGGGGAACCCAGACTGAGCTGGGGGTGATGCTCACCCACCTCACAGCCCATCTGCAAGGGGTGATAAAGCCACTCTCCCTCCCATTGTCCCCCATCTCAGCTTCAGCATTGCCTTCTCTCTCTCTCTTCCCCTCTTTCCCTCCTTCCCTCTTTCTCCATCCCTCTCTCTCTTTCCCCTCTCTCCCTCCTTCCCCCCTCTCTTTTCCCCCTCTCTCTCCCTCTCCCCTCCCTTTCTTTCTCTCCCTCTCTCTCTTCCTCCCTCCCTCCCTCCCTCCCTCCCTCCCTCCCTCTCTCTCCTCCCTCCCCCTCTCTCTTTCCCTTTCTCTCTCCCTCTCTCCCTATCTCTCTCCTTCCCTCCCTCTCTCTCTCCCTTCCTTCCTCTCTCCTCTCTCTCCCCTCTCCCTCTCTCCCACCCTCCCTCCCTCTCTGTCTCTCTCTCCCTCTTTCTCCCCTCCCTCCTTCCCTCCCTCCTTCCCTCTGTTCTCTCCCTCTCTCATTTCTCACTCTCTCCCACTCTCCCCTCTCTCTTCTCTCTCTCTCCCTCTCATTCTCTCCCACTCTCTCTCATCCCCCCTTTCAATTTATTGAATCACTTGATCTGCAGAGTTATTCACGATTTAGTTTCAAGTTACACTGTCCCAGCACCAATCCCTTCATCAGTGAGCACTTACCTCACCAGTCCTCCATGCCCAGCCTGCCTCAGACAGGCCTCCTTTCAGCCCTTCCAGAGCAGCCACTTCCCTCCACCACTGTCAGAGTGTTCCCTCCTGTCCTGCCCCCACCCCAAGAGCCAAGTGTCCTGCTGAGGCCCAGTTCTGCTCTTTGCTGCCACAGGGCTTTTGTCACTCCCCTGCTATGTTTCTTTAGATCCTGCTATGAGAGAGATCACAATGTCCGTCCCTTTTCCTCTGGCCCCCACCAGCCTAGGGGAGGGGTTCTGTGGCAGTCACAGTCCAGCTTGACTCTGAGTGACAAAACTAGCCTACGTGGTAGGGACACTCGGCCAGGGGTAGAGAGTGTGGTGTTGGAATGTTTTAAGCGTGGGGCCCTGCTGTTATTCTTGTTAATCATAGTGCCTGATATTTAAAAACAAGAGGAAAAAAATCATTACATCA